TGGGGTGAGGGGAGCAGCAGGGGTGAGCTGGGGCTCCGCGGGCTGGCCGCGTGAGGGTTAAGGCCGGGCTGCTTGGCCCCAGCTGATCTGAGCCAGCGCCGCCCTGTGTGCCCACGGAGGGGGGGCCGCGGGGGCCTGGAGGGGCCGGCAGCTCCTCACAGAGCTGCTGTGTGCCCCGTCCCTGCCAGACCTGCTCCCACAGCCGCCGCCAAGGCCTCTGCCACCACCCGGCTTATCAGAGCAGGCGTCTGTTGCCATCGGCTGTCCCCAGGAGGGCAGACTTGGGGCAGGGCCTTTGCCACTTTCGTGCTCTGATCGAGATGTGGCAGCCTCTTCCCCTGGGCCCCACGGCCCTATAAAGTGAGGCTGGTTCTAGTGGGACCAGCCAGGCCGCCTGCCCAGTGCCGGGAGCTGCTGGAAAGGTAGGGAGTGATCGCATCTGCTTCTGCACATCTTTGAGCCCGTGCGGCTGGCAGAGAGCTGGCGTGGCCGCCTCAGCTGACTGCTGTCTACCGAGCGTGTCCCTCGCTACGTCCTGGCTCTGCACCCTCCGTCCGTGGGCTCGCTTGAGGTGGGCCCAGCTGACCTGCCCAGGGCCACACGGCCGTGAGAGCGTGAGCCAGGATCTGGACCCAGGTCAGTTCAGCACCGGAACCCCCCTTTGGGCCCTTTCCCAAGCTCGTTTGCTGGGGTCCCTGGGCCCTAGGGGAGGTTGTGCTTTTCTTCTTAGAGCTCTTCACGGGCAGTCGAGGAGTTCCGTTGAAGACTGGGTGCTTGGCTGTGTCCCACCATTTCTGAAGGCCTCAGAGGTTTTCAGAGGCCCAGAACCCCACTGCAAGAACCACCAGCCCAGGCTGATGCAGAGGGAAGCTGGGATGATTCCAGGGGGAGGGAAGAACCTGAGGATCATGGAGGGCCTCAGTGCCCGCGTGAGTTTGAACTTTGGTCCTAGGGCAATAGGGAGCCAGATGAGGTTTTTGAGCAGCGGCGTGACTTGGTCATATCTGTGTATTAGGAAAACACCTTGATATCAGTGTCGGCACAGTCAGAGCAAGGAGTCCTAGGAGGGTGGTGTGGGAGTCTGGGCTGCACTTGGTGGTTGGCCCAGGCCAAGGGCTGTGGGGGTGGAGAGGAGTGGTCAGTTCTGAGACTGGTGGAGCCATCCAGCGAGACTGTGGAGGCCGAGAGTGCTGGGGTGAGGAGGCTGGACTGGCAGAGGGTTCTTAGAGCCAAGCCGGGAGCCCCAGGGCCATTGCACGGGGCCTGTGCTCTGGCGCTTTGCCTCTGCTGCCCACTCACGGAGCCAACACGCTTCCCCCCGGGGTGCATTTCCTCCTGGTCTCTCCCATCCTGTGGCTTTTGCCACCTGCCCTCCATGGGCCGTAAATCAGCAGAGGATATGGTGGGGTGGGAGGCAGTCCCAGGTCCCCCAGCCTGTGCCACCACCTGGTATCTGAACCCCCTTTCTGTGCTGGCAGGAGAGGGAAAGGAAGCCAGTTCGTGCTGAGAGCTGGGTCCTCCTGCCAGGTGGATATTTACAAACACAGGCCACTCACTTGGCAACGTCAACACCGCGATTCCCTTGGGTGCTGTCAACAACCCCCCCACACACAAACACACCCCTCCCCTGCAGCCAGGCGCCTCCTGGGGCACAGAAGGAGGTGGCCATGGCTGGGACCCTGGGGACCACCAAGCCCCTCCCCAGGTCGACAGAGAGCCCTGGAAGCCAGAGGGGGCCGAGGCCCCGTGCAATAAGATGAGGCCAGACTCCCGCCTGGGCGGTGCCCTCCCCCCTGCAAGGGCTTGGTGGCGTGGGCTGGCCCTGAGGTCAGTGTCCTCAGAGGACCTGGACTCACAGCGCCGCTGTACGGCGGCTCCCAGGTGTGAAGGGAATCTTGGGGAATCTCGGGGAATCTCGGGGTAAACGCGAGCAGTTCTGACCGTCTGCGAAGGGTGGTGAGCCTGGAGGAACGAGACCCGCTGGCTGCTGCCCAGCCAAGGAGAGGCGCAGGCCTGGCCTCAGGGCCAGAGGAGCTGCAGCCCCTGCAGACACACCCTCAGGGGCGGCTCCTACACAGGCGTGCGTGGGAGGGAACGGCAGCCAAGCCCTTCCTCACTGCTCTCCTCGCCCCAGGGAGGGAGACAGGGACCAGCCACGAGAGGAGGCCCTCCGGGTTCTTGTGTGCGGCCGGGAGGAAGCCCGCCCACGGCGTGTGCGTGGGGACAGCAGCAAAGGGCTGGCCTGCTGGCTCGTCCCCCGCGGGGGTCTGGCGGCCCCTGCATCCCCCCACCCGGGCTGGAGAACCTTGGCCTGGGCTCTTCTGAGTGGCTGCAGCGGGTTTCCTGCGGGCTCAGCAGCAGCGCAAAGGGAAGGACCGGTGTGGGCTGGGTCCGGGGCTGGCCGGGGCTGGCGTGGAGACTAGTCTTGGCCTGAGTCCGGGTCTGCTGCCTGCTCACCGTGTACCCGCCTGCTGAAGACGCGAGTTCCTCAGTGGAGTCTCTATTTTCCCCCCTTAGAGGCTGCCGTGAGGATCAAGCAGTGAGTGTCAGGGAAGGGCTTCCCGGCGTCGGGAACTCAGGAAGCTCACACGGGCCCCCTTGCCCCCCACCGGGACGGAGAACACGGTGACTGCTGAAAGCTCGGGGTACCCGAGAGCCCCGCCTGCCTCGCGGCCTCGCGGCGCTGGTGCTTGTGCAAGATTTCATGGGCTCAGGACTTGTTTTCTGAACTGAATATTCAGTTCCCTGCGTGCTCCGTGCACTCGTTCAACTCAGCCTCCGCGTGTTTGCTTTCCTCTCTCGGGGACAGCCTTCCTCTCATCCTCTGGTCTCACTTCCTGCCAGAGCCCTGCCCCGACTGCCCACCCCTGAGCCAGCGGCCACTCCCTGCCGCCGCCCACTGTGAACGAGCCAGGCCTGACGCTGCGGCCGCGGAGGGCAGGGACGTGAGGGTCTTCAGGATGGGTGGGTGAGAGGATGGACCATTCTGGGCTGCACTTTGGGAAACTCCAGCGTTGCAGCAAACGTCCCAGATGTACGAAGCTCAGGGTCTGCGAGCAACTGCCCAGGACCAGGAACTGGTGGTAGTGAGTGTCCTTCCAGGGCTTTCTCTAAAACTCCTGGGGTGCACAGCTGAGCCCTCGGGGGCCAGGCAGGGGTTTCCTGGGCCTCGGCTTCTTAGCTCATTGAGACAGTTCAGCTTGTTAAGAGAGATGTCGGTCTGCTCAGAGCCCACCCCAAGAGCGGGTAAATGTATCTGGATTTTCCACTAAGATTAGCGAGTCGTTTCTCTGATAGGCCTGGCTGGGACTTGATCAAGAAGACCAGCCGAGTCCTGCCCAGAGCGATGTTCCCTGGTGAGCTCACTGAGGTCCGTCGCGGGGTCTCTGCTCTGATGAGGTGGAACCCTCCCTGGGATCGACACTCCAGGAGCGGGTTGTTCGTGTGGGACGGTTCCCTGACACCTGGCGCGGGGAGGCTGCCAGGAAAGCGGGATTCCCAGCCTGGGGGCTCGGGGACGACGCTCCACCCGGCTGGGGGCGCACGGTCGCTGCTCCCCAGGGAGCACCCAGAGGCTGGGGTGGTTGACGAGTGTCCCTGGGACTCAGCCTGCTGTGCCACCCACAGCGCCTGGACCCAGCCCTCTGTCCAGCGGCGGGATCGGCCTGGGCCAGGCTTCCCCTGACGCCTTTTTGTTTCCTGGGCGGAGCAGCCCCCTGGGTCTGACGCGCATACCCGTTGGCCACCGCCTTGGTCCTCTGAGCACGCCAGACTCGGTGCACGAAGCCGGACACACCTACGTGGTCTGTCTCCATTCTAAAGACAGTGGCGTGGAGGTTCAGAGAGGTGGGGCATGTCCAACCTTGCGTTGCTCGTAAGCAAAGAGAAGAGATTTGAACTGAGGAGCTTTCTCCTCTCTCTCTGCGATGACTCTGCACGTCACTGGCCTCAGCTCCGACGTGGTGATATCATAGTTTAACACAGACACCGTTCATTGGGATTTCAGCAGATCTCTCCTCACTCAGGGGTCAAGCAATCGTCTGGCTCACCTCCTGTGGCCGCAGAGTAGCCACGGTTGTGCTTCTCCTTGCTTCCCAAGAAGGGAGACCACAGCCGCGCTGCCGAAGGCCAGGGGCCCCCGGGGAAGGTGCCCAAGGGTGGTGCGTGGCAGCCAGAGCCCACCCTGCCGTCACGGGGCCGGCAGACCCGAGGTTTCCTGTGGTGCTTCCAGCCTCGGGTCCTGCTGGGCGGTGGCACGAGGGGTCCCAGTGGAGATGCCGGTGTGCAGCTCCTGGCCCCCCGTGACAGCTGCCCGTCCTGGTGTGGTGCAGACCTCGAGCCTGCGGCGGGACGTCTGCTCTGCCGACCGTTCTTCACCAGGCGGCTGGCAGAGGACGCAGGAGGCCCCTGGGGCCTGCTCTCTTTGAACCAAAGTTGGTCACCGGTGCCTCTCACAGAAACCTCCCCGCCGTCTGCCCCAGGGCGCCCCTCGTGTCTCCCCGATAGGCCCACTGTACCCACCTGGGCTGCAGTAGGTGAGGGTGGCACCCTGGTCACCATCCGTGACATCCCAGGAGATGCTGGTTTCCCAGGAGCGCACGTAGCACCTTGCTGAGCCCTTCCTCTCGGAGCAGAGCACGCAGGCCCTGCGGCCAGGGCCACCGGAGCACTGGCTCCTGGAAAACAGGAAAGCGGCTGTCAGCTGTGGCCCAGGGCCTGAGCATGCGACTCTGGGAAAACCGGGCCAGGTGTCTGACTGTCAGGTGTGGCTGCTCCGGCCTCCCCCTGGGAAAGGCCCTTCCAGGTAGCCGGCTTCTGGGATGTGCCGTGTTGCGCCAGGAGACCGCGCCCCCAGCCGGCCCCGGGCCTGCCCGACGGCATGTTGGACCAGGGCCTGGCCCAGCTCTGTGCGCCACCTGGGGTCCAGGACCCTCCCTGGCCGCTTGTCCGGTCTCGTTCCTCACATGCCTCTGCTCTCCACAGAGTTAGTGTCCTCGCTGCTGGAGAAGATGCAGACACAGGACATCCTGAAGATGCTGCGGCTGCCCGAGCTGGGCGACTTGGGCCAGTTTTTCCGCAGCCTCTCGGCCACCACCCTCGTGAGCATGGGCGCGCTGGCCGCCATCCTCGCCTACTGGTTCACCCACCGGCCGAAGGCCTTGCAGCCGCCCTGCAACCTGCTGATGCAGTCGGAAGAACTGGAGGTGAGCGGGGTGGGGTCAGCTCAGCTGTGGAAGGTGCCAGGCAGAGGACTGGCGTCTCGAAGGTGGAAGCCACACGTGTGGCACAGAGACGCTCCGTTTCCCCTGGCAGCCAGCGGGCTCCGCAGCAGCCTCCGGTGAGGTCTGCTACTCGTTGCTCCTCCGCCTCTCCCTGGAGCTGCCCCCACCCCCGGCGCAGCCTGACCTGGGCCTTGCACTGGGCCTCTGGTTTGTCCACTTCTCGAACGGGGGTCTTGGCCATTGGTGCCCCAGCAGGAAGCCTGAGCAGGTTCTCAAGGGGCTGCGGGTAGATTCCCCTCCAGACTGTCCCTGTGCCCCGTCCTGCTCTGGTGCCGGGACCCGGAGCCGAGCCCTCCCCTGGCCCTTCCCCACCCCCCCAGCAGACGGACTCACAGCGGCAGCCACTGAGGGGGAAAGGTACAGTGGCCCAGTAGACAGGGTCTTCCAGGCTCAGAGAGAGGTTTTTTAATAAGCTTAGGAAATTTATTTTGCCTTTTTAAAATTTGCTTTTTTTTCTTAAACTTTCATTCTTTTCAATTTGAATAGATGATGTATTTACGCAGTTCAAAAGAAACCAAGGGCATATACTGAAAAGCTTCTGCCTTCTTCCCCTGGCCTCCCAGTTTTCCTCCCCGGAGGCAACCTGTATTAATTGTCCTGTCCGAGACATGAGCAAATGTCTAGACACACACCCACCTCCCGCATCCACTCGAAATGACACAGGCAGCACCGCTGTGCCCTTGCGTTCTGCTCCTGGCGGTGCGTCTTGGCCGTCATAGCGCGGCAGTGCTTTGCCTGGCCGGGGAGGGTGCAGGTCAAGACAGGGGCCAGCATCTTAAGGGCATTTTTCCAGCGGAAGGAGTGATGTTGCTGAGGTCCAGGTGTGTGCTAAGGCACCTGGTGGCTTTGGGAAAAGGCGCTGGGCAGTGGGGAGGGCGGGAGAGGGGCTGGCCAGCTGGCGTTGAGGATGCCCCGGTGGCTGGCAGTCCTGGGTTGAAGCTGGGCTCTGCCTCTCTGAGCTCTGTGGTCCTTGGAAGCTTCTTAACTCTCTGAGCCTCAGTTCCTTCCATCGTAAAGTAGGCAATAAATAGAGCACCTGCTTCCTAAGGTGTGGCGAGGATTTGGTGAGACGGAGCAGAGAAATCACTAAGAACAGCCATGTTCGGTTAAGCTTATGACTACGACTCATCTGGAGAGCTGCGCGGGGACAGAGCCCCCTTAACTGGGCAGGGGCCCTCAGGATGGGCGGCGTGAATTTATTTCGGTTTTCATCAGGGAGAGATGCGGCCAGTGTGCGGAGACAACAGCAGGCACCTGGGTTGGATGACGCCGGGTGACAGTGGTCTCGGTGGGGTCAGGACAGCGCAAGGCATGGCCCTGGCTCCCGTATGGAGACCACTGAGGGAGTCGCCGTGCGGGTCTGGCTGGGAGGACAGTGGCACGGGATGACGCGAAGGCCTCCCTTCCTGGGGAGACCGAGCCCTCTCTTTCCTCATCCTCCAGTAGCGCAGAAGCCAGAGTGGCATCAGGCCAAGGAGGGAGTGGTAGGAAATGAGGTGAGACAGGTATTGCGGAGACCTCGATCATACAGGGCCTGGTGCTACGTGGTGGGAAATCGTTCGGATGATGTCACTTCTCCTGCCGTGAATCCCTCCCCTGGCTCCCACTGCCTTCAGCCTGAGGTCCAGACTCCTCGCCTTGATCTGTAGCCTCTCTGGCCTCCTCTCCCACCGTCACCATCTGGGGCTCCGTACGTTGCCTACAGTTCCCCAAACACACCTGTGCCTCCTGCCCCCGTGCATTTGCACCTGCTGTTGCCTGTGCCAAGACTGCCATTCCCCGCTCCTCATTCTGCCTGGCAAACTCTTATGCATCCTTCAAAACCCAGCTCAGTAGCCACTCGCAAACACATACCTACTTGAGCCTCCTTTGTCCCTGGCAGAATCTCTTGCTGGGTCACGTCTGTCACCCTGGTGCTAACCGGGTCTGACTGCATGTGCCCGCAGCTCCCCGCGCAGGTCCGACGTGGGCCTGGTGCCCGGGAAGCACTGGCCAGACAGGACCGCCCACTCCCGAGCAGGGAGAGTGGCCTGTGGTTTGAGTGTGGCTGTTTGCGCTGGGGCTCTCACACTTCCTCAGACCCCGCGTTGCAGGTGGTGGTGGGCTCTGCGCCCAAACGGTGCTCGAGATGAGGGAGAGCTCCGGGACTGGGAGTTCCGGGTTTGGGGAGCTGGGAGGGATGGCAGGATCGGGGGGAGGAGGCAGAAGAAGAAGCCTGGCTCCTCTCCGCAGCCCCAGCGCAGAGGGTTCTGCCGCCTCCCTACTCTACATCGCGCCACTGGGGCCGGGAACTCACTGCTCTTCTCCCTGACCCCCACCCCACTGCGCATTAGCATAATCCAGCCTGTCCCCCTTCACAGCCTCCTGGGCCTCTGCTCCTGGGAAGGTACCTTCAGCACAGTCCTCAAACTAATTCACACTATTGTGTGAATGATACATGGCAGCCTTCTTAGCTAACAAGGACTACATCCAAATGATCCTCAGCCTGGGGGAAGAGCAGCAGATAATGGTGTGGGGGACCCCTTGGCAGGTTGATCCTGATGCCAGGGGTAGCCTGACTCCATTCAGCACTCCCCACGGCGTTGTGTGAGTGAGCCGTGGGTACGTAGGAACAGTAACTGCAAATTCTGGACGTTTTCTGAGTGCCTCCCTGGTGCGTGAATGCTGTGTGTGTCACGCATGTGTAGGGCACGCTGGTGTACCGGACCCGTGTGCATGAGCCGGCCGTGTCTGAGTGTGATGCACACCTGTGTACCGCCAGGTGTGCGCAGGCCAGGTGCACGAGTGCACACAGAACACGTCCCAGCCCCGACCGTGCGGACCGGCCGTGCGTCGATCTGCCACAGCCTGTGCGTGCCGCGGTCCCGCGTGACAGCCCCGACTGCCTGAGCCAGCTTCTCTGGCCTGTGCTTCGCTTGTAGGATGGGGACGGGGCCCGGCGGTCTGTGATCACGAGCAGCCCTCAGCTGCTCACCCACTACTACGACGACGCTCGGACCATGTACCAGGTGTTCCGCCGCGGGCTCAGCATCTCAGGTGAGCAGGGCTGTGGGTGTCTGAGGAGGGGCTGTGCAGGGGCGGAGGGGGGCAAGGGCGGTGACGAGCACGGGACCAGGGCGTGGAGAGCAGGCCCCGTTCCGTGGAGAGAAGCTGCTCTTGACCCTCCTCGCACCAGTCAGAGAAGCAGCTGCCTTACGTGGCCGCAGGGCCTCAAATTGCCCTCGACTCTGTTCCAGCCCTCAGGCCGTCTCTCGGCTCATCCTCTATAGCCCTGGCGGACACTGCGCTGCCAGGCCGCTGGCCTCTGCGATGTCTGGGTGTCCCCAGGGGCAGGCAAAGGGGGGTGGTCACAGAGAGGCAGCTACCACCTCCTCCCAGTGGCCCCCCAGGCCCTCTTGGTCTCCAGTGGGCTGGACAGGCAGTGGGGGGCAGTTCACTTGGCCAGGGGCACCCCACAGTGGGGCATGTCCATCCAGTTCCTGATGGGCAGGTGGGGGGCACACCCAAGGCCAGCCCCCCGGCACAGGCTTTCTTGTCTCTCTGCAGGCAACGGGCCCTGTCTTGGCTTCAGGAAGCCCAAGCAGCCGTACCAGTGGCTCTCCTACCAGGAGGTGAGTGACAGAGGACGGGCCCCACCTGTCCACCCACAGGGACCTGGCGCTCGGGTGGGGGGGTGTGGCAAGTGCCCTGCTGGGTCTCGGAGGGTCACTTTTTACTTGCCGGGCCTGTCTGCCGCACTGCCGGCTGCGTCCCTGAGGGGCGGTCGCCGTGCCTGGGTGGGGCATCAGGGAGGGTCTCCCGCAGCTGTAGGGCCCACCCGGGACCTCCCTCCCCTGCCGAAGGGTCCTCGTCTCCCCATCGCCCCCCACATCTGTGTGCAGGTGGCCGACAGGGCTGAATTTCTGGGGTCCGGACTTCTGCAGCACAACTGTAAAGCGTGTACAGACCAGTTTATTGGTGTTTTTGCACAAAATCGGCCAGAGGTAAGCACCCGCCTTGACTGGTTTCAGAGGTGTTAGCGGAGCGGGGGTCAGGCCCCACGGAACAGTCCTTAGGACCTGGGACGAGGGGACAAGTGGAGATGCCTGGGCTGTGCGGCCCCCCTTCTGAGCCCTGACCCTGCCCCTCCTCGGGATTGAACACCTGTGGGCTCTGTCCACACCCCGCCCAGCTCCACAAACAGCTGCCCCCAGAGCCACTGGGAAGGAACGACCCGGGGAAGAGGCCCTGGGAGTGGCTGGGGGCTGTTTAGACGTGAAATCCGGGAGGCGTAGAATTCCCTGGGGCGAGCGTGGTCTGGAAGGCCGTGGGAGAGCCGCACAGCCCATCAGCCCGTGCATTCCGTGCCACATGCGGAGGGCCAGGCTTCGAGTAGGGACCCTGGTCACCTGGGCCTCTAATCTCCTTTCCGCCCCCACCCCCCAACACCCCGACCCGCGTGTCTCCGTAGTGGATCATCGCGGAGCTGGCCTGCTACACGTACTCCATGGTGGTGGTCCCGCTCTACGACACCCTGGGCCCCGGGGCCATCCGCTACATCATCAACACAGGTGAGCCCGCGGCCGCCCGCTGCCCCGTTGGTGGCCACGCCCAGCCCCAGCCGGTTGCCCGACACTCGTAAGGGGCACTGTGCTTCTGCTCTCAGAAGACGCTGGGGGCTTGCGCTTTGGCCCCTGAGTTACTTTCCTGGCCAGACTTCACCTGAGGCTCCTTGGCTGCCCGGAGGAGCCTCCGCACAGGCCCAACCCTGAGGCTCACGGCCGCTTGGCAGACGCTGGGGCGGTAAATATCTCAAGGAGACCTGGGATGACGGCGCAGAGCTTGGGGCAGGGAGAGCTTAGAATCTGCTCCAGGTCTCCTGGCCTCTGCCCTTGGCTCCGCCCAGCACCCGCGGCGCGTGCCTCTGGACAAGCATGCGGCACCCCCGGCCCGTCTTACGTGTTCATGTGCACCGTGGGACGCGCACCCGCGGCGCCGCTGCCCAGCGCGTGCGCCAGCCCAACTGTCCTTGATGGTCCCCGCAGCGGACATCAGCACCGTGATCGTGGACAGGCCTCAGAAGGCCGTGATTCTGCTGGAGCACGTGGAGAGGAAGGAGACGCCGGGCCTCAAGCTGATCATCCTCATGGAGCCGTTGGAGGAGGCCCTGGCAGAGCGAGGGCGGATGTGCGGGGTGGCCATTGAGTCCATGCAGGCCGTGGAGGTGAGAGTCGAGCCCCCAGCCGGGCCGCAGCCGGCCGGCCACCGCATTGGAGCTGCTGGTTATCCGCCCCTCTCGTGCCCTGGGGGACTGTTTGGGGCCCTCGGGGTGTATCAGGGTCTGCGCAGGGCAGGCTTTGCAGGGGCTGGTGGTGGGCGGTGGGGTTGGTGTCCACGGGCGTCCTCTAGAGACAGGCTCTGTGGCCGGGTCGGTCCAGGTGCCACGAGCAGGTGAACGGAGGTTCCGCCCTCGGCTGCCCCTGGAGCGTTCTCGTTTCCAGCTGGCGTCAGCCTGTCTGCGCCCAGGGACTGTAGCCATGAGGTCCAGGAATCTCAGAGAGGTTCTTGCACTTGTGACCTGACCCCCAGCAGCCGCAGGACTGATTTTCTGTGCATGGCCTCCCCAGAGACGACAGGTTGGTGGCAGCTTGCGGCTCGCTGGGGCGACACAGGACGTCCTGGCCTCCAGGGCCTCAGGCCCTGCTCGGTGGCGGCCGACCCGCACTGTGCCCTGCTGGATCGCGGCCCTGGGCCCCCAGCTCTGCCGCTGCCTCCCCGCCCGCCCTGCACTGTCCTGGCGAGGCCTGTGCACGTGCACCCCTGGTGGCGCTAGCAGCCCCTGCCCCAGCACTGACGCGCGTCTGAAAGCCCCGCCACCCGCCAGTTTGTCCTGAGCACCCCCGCACCCTGAGCCTCGGGCTCCCTGTCTGCAATGTGGGGGGTGGGCCAGGACCTCCGGGCACCCCCTTTTCTCCCAGGAGTCTCGACGTATGTCTGAGGAGAGGCCACCAAGGTGGCGTCTGTCATGGCAACCCACATGCCCGCAGGGAACCTTGGATTCTGGGCTTGGTGCAGGCAGGGCCCACTATGCTGAGTTTATTTCGATTTTTCTTTTCGGTTGGTGAGAACTTTTGAGCATTTACAGCAGTGTTTTCTCCTTTCAGGACTGTGGCCGAGAGAATCGCCGTGCTCCCGTGGTAAGCGCATCTGCGGCAGGGCCTTGTTGAGCGAGGCGCGTGGAGGGCTCAGCGTAGAGGCCAGACACGGGCCTGTGTGCTAATGAGCAGCCCTGCGAACACGGCAGGAAATGCCCCCTGGGTGTCCAGCACTCTGCGGGCTGAAAGCCGGGGAAGGGCCTGGAAGGGGAGTCGGGTGTCTGGGACAGAGAAAAACGGGCAGCCCACCCCGGCCACGCTTGGTTCTCCAGTAGCCTTTGGGGAGCCCAATTTCTTCCCTTCGAGTGTGGTGAACTCCCCAGGGGATGGGCTGGACAGAGCAGCAGCAGAACCAGGAATGGACCCTGGGCCACGTGGCCTCATGGCATCTGCTGTCCTTGTGACCTTCTCTGTGTGTCGTCCCCATGTGACGCCGCCTGGGGTTGAACCACAGCGAGGGCAGCTGCCCCCGGGATGGGTCACGTGGAGGTTTCCCGCTTTCTAACGAGGCCTCTGGCCTCCAGGCCTTCCTCCAGCTCGTCCTGCCCTCCCTTCACCACCCTGGGGATGTCCCCACGCACAGGCCTGCGCAGGTGGCCCTGCTTCCCAGGCCCTCGCTGGCAGACCCTGGTGTTTGCTGTTTGCCCACCCCCCACACGCCAGGTCCCCGCGGAGAGCTGCCCCGGTGCCTGCGCCCGGGCTAGTTCCTCTCCCGGAACGCCCGCCCTCGCCTCGCTGGAGAAACCTCGCTGCCTTTCCATCCCAGCCCAGTGTCACTACCTTCCAAGCACAAGCAGACTTGTGACTGTCCCTCCTGACCCCAGGCCTGTGTGCCCAGCGCCAGGGCAAGGGCTGAGGCAGAGCCGTCCTGGTGACAACGTGTAGCACTGAGCTACATGTCGTGTTCCTGAGCCTGACCCCGGATATTTGGGAGAAAATGGGAAGGAGGGAGGGATCCAGGTCACATCCACTAGAAAGGTGAGACCTTTGGTGGAGGCCGGGATGTGGCCATTGCAGCCCAGGCCCGTCGAGGGGAGTTCTGCTCCCACGGTGGGAAGCAGCAGGACAGATGTGAGGTCGGTGGGACAGACCAGTGCCAACACCCCAGCTGAGTTTCCTCACCTGCTTTTCCCCATCCCTGGGAGCTCGTCTGCCCACCTTGCCGAGTGCCGCACGCAGGGGCCTGCGCGCGTGCCTGGCACACACACACCCGCGCACGGCACACACGTGGGGCCGGCTGGCCACGCTGGGTCTCCCCAGCACACTCCTCTTCTCCCCCTGCAGCCCCCGCAGCCGGACGACCTCTCCATCGTGTGTTTCACGAGTGGCACGACAGGTAAGCACAGGCACCCAGAGCGCCAGCCATGGCCTCCCGCACCCTTCCCTGGCAGCCCGGCGGGTGACTGCAGGGGCCTTGGACGCCCTCTGTGAGCCTTGTCCCGTGCCTGGCGCAGACGCCAGGTCCCTCCTGCTGCGCCCGGTTCCCAGCACAGGACCACGGGGTGCACAGATGCAGACGCACTGCGGAGTGGAGGTTCCGGGGTGGGGGCTCCGCGCTCCCCAGAGCTGACCGGCGCAGACGTGGGCAGCTGGGTCACGTGCGGAGGGAGGACTTTTCTCACTGGCGTCATTCTCTGAGGGAAAGAGCTCTCGCTCCTCTGCTTTCTGCCCCTGCCTGGCCTTTGTGTCAGGGACTGGGGCCTGTGGGGTTTGGCGTCTGAGAGCCTGGGTTCGAGTCCCATCTCCACCATTTGCCAGGGGACTATGAGCCAGTCACTGAACCTCCCTGCCACCACTGCCCCCAGTTTCTCATGTCTGAGGAGGGTGGTTAAAGGCACCAAGCAGATGGCCGGGCAGGGTGGCTCACACCTATAATTCCAACACTTTGGGCGGCTGAGGAAATAGGATCACTTGAAGCCAGGAGTTCAAGACCAACCTGGGCAACATAGCAAGATCCCATCTCTAAAAAAAAAAGAATGATTTATAGCCAGGCATGGTGGTGCTGCTGCAGTCCCAGCTACTTGGGAGGCTGAGGCAGGAGGATTGCTTGAGCCCAGGAGTTCGAGGCTGTAGTGTTCACGCCACTGCACTCCAATATGGGCAACAGAATGGGACCCTGTCTCTAAAAAAAAAAAAAAGGACCCAAGTACAAGATGGAGTGGTACGTGATGTGAAAGGGAAGTCTGAATGCTCTGCAGGCCGTGTGCCGTGGGCAAGGCTGTCAGCAGAAGACATGAGCAGAAATAACACGCTTCATGCCTGGCCCTGACAGAGGAGTACATACATCAGTGGAGGTAGAACAGTCAAGGAAGGCTTCCTGGGGGAGGCATAATACACGTGAGGACCACGGCACAGGCACAACACTGTGCAGTCTGCACTGCCCTCACCCTCTCACTGCTCTGCTGGGGCCTCAACACGGCCCGCGAGGCAAGCAGGTTACCACCAGGTCTGCTCCAGCGGACTCCACCAGCACGCGGAGGCACGAGGCCTGCGCCCGGCTCCCCTCGCTCCCAGGCCGGGGCTCTTCCCATCTGCCTTTCCGTCTCATCTGGTGACTTGGGAAGTCACCTGCCTCGCCCCGGATGGGCAAGAAGTCTGCGGCCTTCTTCTTCCAGACCCAGAGCTGGCCCGCCTTGCTGACGGCTCTCGGTGGGCAGTGACCTGGGCTCTCCTCGCGTCTCACAGATGCGGCCTCCACCGAGGCGTTTGGCGGACCTCTGACCAGCCCCACGGGCGGGATTACCCACGTCGGTGGATCATGATACACGTGGCTTTATTGAATCGAAATGGATTTTTGCATTAACCCCCATGGGTTTGAGGGTTTCCACCACACTCTGCAGAACCTGTCAGCAAAGAAACGGCACAGCCTCCCTCTCCGGAGCTGACATCCAGAGCCAACCGGAATTCACAAGTGCCCTTCGCTGGGCGTGGCGGCTCACGTCTGTAATCCCAGCGCTTTGGAAGACTGAGGCGGGAGGATCGCTCGAGGCCAGGAGTTTGAGACCAGCCTGAGCAAGGGTGAGACCCTGACTCTACAAAAAATAGAAAAATCCGCCAGGTGTGGTGGCGCATGCCTGTAGTCCCAGCTACTCGGGAGGCTGAGGCAGGAGGATCGCTTGAGTCCAGGAGTCTGAGGTTGCTGTGAACTGGGCTGAGGCCAGGGCACTCTAGCCTGGGCAACAGAGTGAGACCCTGTCTCAAAAAAAAAAAAAAAAGTCTTCGGGTTTATGTTGCTCTTAAACAACTTTCCAACGTTTTTTTGTCACGAGTCTCACAGTGCGAACTTTTGGTGACGTGGTTTTGGGGAGCAGGTCGCTGCCGTGGCCCTATCTTTGGACTCCTGCCTTCCACGAGTGCCTGCAAGCTTTTGACAAGTCACCTGGTCACAGATGCTGCCCCTGGATCTGGAAGGGAGCTTCGTGACGCAGAAATGCGCTGCTGCCCGGCCGGGAGGGCGGACATCACGCCCGGTGCCTTTGCAGACGGATTCGCGACGGGAAGCTGGGCCGTCCTGCTCGGGCTCCACGTGGTGGAAGCAGAACGCGCGGAGCCTGGAAGCCGGGCTGTGATTCGGGGTCCCGGGACCCTCTCTCCCAAGGTCAGCCTGGTGCTCGGCATAGCCGGGACGGTGAGCAGCTCCTGGCCCGGCCACGTGCTCGGATTTCCTGGCTTTAGGCTGAGCCCCTGCTGAGCCTCTCGCATTCTTCCTCCTCGTTGCACCGTGAGGCTGGCGTCCCGGCTCCAGGGGCCACGTGGTTCTTTCAGTGGGGAAAGATGGCAGATGTGATCTGGACCTGGTGCTTGGCTTGTGGTTCTGACAGAATCGTTCTGGGAAGATTTCCTTGGTGGCGTGTGGTGGAAAGACCCGTGGAGGTTCTTAGAAGGAGCTAGAGCTTCAGAGCCCCTGGCCAGGCCGCGGCGGCCCTGGGAGAAGGTGAGAGCTGACTCGTTTGTGCCCAGTGGTGGCTGGTGGGGTGGTTTGAGGTCCGTTGTTCATTTCAAAATAACTATTAGCTGTGCTGGAATCTGAACCGAACCTCCCTCCAAAAACAGCCTGTGTGTTAGCACTCTTTTCCTAATTTACGTGTATTTATTCATTCAGCTCATTTTCTGAGCGCCCGCTGTATGCATCAGACCTATCGCTGGGCGTGCGGGACGCAGGGAGGGGAAGCGCGGTCGGCACTCGCGGCTCACAGGCCGAGTCGTCAGGCGGTTGCCGTGTGACGCGGGCGCCGCCTCAAGGGCCGCATCCCGGGTGCGGGAGGTGAGAGGTCAGCACAGCAGCGCAGGAAGGATTCCAGAGGAAGTCGGTCTGGGCAGCAACCGGAAGGGCGGGCAGCTGGGCCAGGAGGAAGGGCATTGCAGAGGGCTGGTGGCAGCACCGCGGGAGGGCTGAGTGAGGGAGACTCGTGTGATCAGACGCAGAAAACTACGTCTCTGCACTCCCGCCGTGCAGCTTTGGAGTTAGCTAGCCTCTCTCTGACTGCGTTTCCCTGGGTCGTAAATGAATACGTTTGATGCCTGTTGCACAGGGTTGTTGTAAGAAGTAACTGAGTGCCATGGATGAAACGCCCAGCATAGTGTTGAGATGTTCTTACAGTTGTTATTTCCATTCTTACTAGCCCTCAAGTCTGATTTTTTAAAAATTGATGGCTATGGGATTGAAAAAAGTAAGACTCAACCCTAAAGAGATCTGGGAGGCTTTAGCGGGAAGACGAGCTCTCCTCCTGGTTACCCAACTTCCAGGGCGCGTCGGTCACCGTTACCTGTTGTACCTCACCTTTGGCTGTGCACAGGCAGAAACAGGCGGCCAGAGGGCCCAGCACTGTCCCCAGACCCTACTCCCGCCCCCGCAGGGAGACCTCGAGCCCAGCTTCACCCCACGGCTGCTCGCACTTGGTGCCCGCATCCGACCAGGCCAGATCTTCCCCCAGCAAAACGCTTTTCTGCATAACGGCCGTGGGAGGCTGCCCAGGAACACCGGCCACAGCCAAATGCCGTTTGCAGAGTCCGAAACGGGGAGAGTTTTTCTTCAGTGGCTCGAGAGAAAGCTGAATGCGAGGCGGGTGAGCTGATGAGTGATGGGCCGCAGGTCTCACCGCTGAGACGCTGGCTCCCTGGGTGGCAACGCCGCTGCCTGGCCTCGCACCAGAAAAGGAGGGAAGCGGAGGGATCCGCAGTCCGATTCTGCGAACTTGGCTGCACAGAGGCTTGTCTAGGAGGGCTTAGGCTGCTTCTCCGTGTGAACACCTTGGGAAACTTTTCTGCATCGCGTTCAAAGGAAATGCTGCCAGAGGTGTGTCTTCATCCTGAATCCGCGATGCAAGCAGAGCCTTCCTGAAGCTCCTCTTGCACCTCCCAGCCCGGCCTTTCAGTCTCCCCCGGAATCTGCCGTCAACATTCACCTCTCCTTCGTCATTCAGCATCACATCCAGAGGTGATTTGAAATAATCTGAGCATTTCTGGAATATTTTAAAATTCCGTAGGTCATTAGAAGTTTATGAAAATTACATTCATATCCACAAGAAAACTAAAAGGCGCGAACTCTTCTCATCACGCTGGAGAAGAAAAGGGCTCATCTGACCAAACGGAATCGGGTAACTGTGACTGTTGTATGTGTTTTGGCCTGAACTGAATGGAGGCTTTAGAAATCGTCATTAAGGCCCGGGCGCGGTGGCTCACGCCTGTAATCCCAGCACTCTGGGAGGCCGAGGCGGGCGGATCGTTCTGAGCTCAGGAGTTCAAGACCAGCCTGAGCAAGAGCGAGACCCCGTCTCTACTAAAATTAGAAAGAAATTAATCGGACAACTAAAAATATACAGAAAAAATTAGCCGGGCATGGTGGCACATGCCTGTAGTCCCAGCTACTCGGGAGGCTGAGGCAGGAGGATCGCTTGAGCCCAGGAGTCTGAGGTTGCTGTGAGCTAGGCTGACGCCACGGCACTCTAGCCCGGGCAACACAGTGAGACTCTGTCTCAAAAACAAAAAAATAAAGAAATTGTCATTAACGACGGCAGCTTTCCCTTGAGATTCTCGGATCGTCCGACCTGCAGTTGCGTCAGGCGGGAGCAAGTCCGCCAGCCCCGCGGATCGGAAGCTCAGCAGCACCGGACGCTACGCTGTTAGTTCCTTTGTCACTTCCAGAACCTGAGAGCCCACGGACGAAGCTGCCAGGTGACAGAGTGGGCCCCGTCTCTCTGGGATTTGCATGTAGGAGACGCCTCCGGGAAATTTCTCGATGTGGGCCTGGGTTTGGGGAAAGATGTCAGGATGGAAGGACAGGCAGAGGGAAAACAGATCCCGCAGCTCCTTTTCTTTTCAAAAGGAAGATATTTTATTTATTTGCTTTTTCCTCCTCACCCTCTATGTGATAGTATTTTTAATTTATTTTTTAAAAAGGAGGATATTTTAACAGCTATCCATTTTAAAAGCGTAATTTTTAAAATCATGTAAACGTCTGTGTCCCCAGAATCGCCTCGGTCGGACGGACGAGTCTGTCTCTCGAATTCAAAGACGGGGCCACGACTGATGCTCTTGTCTCTGGCAAACGGGTTGCCAGTGAGCTGAGCAAGTCGGCCTCGAGGGACATAATTACGAGAGCGACTGTGTCTTTGTCTCCATTCGTTCCTTTAAACTTGCGCAGCGGGAGGTGGTTCTTTTTCTGCTCCTGGATAAAAACTTGGGCATTTCGTGCCTTTCCTGGTCACTCTCAGGTAACAAAAAGTTCCATGGTGGTTGCGAGTGACAAACAGAGTCTGGATGCAGAACGACAAGTGGCAGTGACGTCCCTGTGTTCACCGAGACGTCCGCGCCTCCCGGGAGGGTCGGCTGCAGGCTGGGCAGGGACGGTCTCCTCCCCTCGGTTCTCTCTGGTGTTTCTTCTTCCTGCCCCCACCCGCGCTTGCCCATGGAAGTCCCTGTCTGTTCCCTCTCCCCGGGCTGGAAGTGGGGGTGGGTGGTCTAAGTAGGTGGGGTGTGAAGCCGGGAGATGGTTTTGGGCAGACGTCTGAAGCTCACTCCACGTTTGACGGGTGCTTTCCCGAGTGCTCCCGGTTTGGGATTTCGGCACCGCCCTTCCCGGGTCGTCTGCTCCCGGCTCCACTTCAGCCTCTGCCTCTGCGTATCTTACTGCCTCGCTCTGGCCAGGGAGGGTGGCTTTGCGCCGGCGAACTGGCCCGTGGAGAAGATCTCCTTCATCCCGCCGCTGCCCCTCGGACCGAGGTTCCTCCTGGGACCCCAGATCCAGGTCCTGGCAGGAGTCATTTTTCGGCACCCGCAGGTTCCTCGCCTTCCTCACCGGGTTCCGCAGCTGCAGGGAACACGCCTGGGCTTTCCAAGGGACCCCACGAGTGTCTGGGTTACTTGGGTTGCAGGTCGGGTCTGGGAGAGAGGACCCTTCGCTCCTCCCCTGTGGATGGGCTGCAGGACTCATCGTGGCTCTCGCCAGAGAAATCCTCTTCACAAATTCTCTCTGTCTCTCTCACTGAGGCAAAATCCACGTAGCGTAAACTTAGCCATTTCAAAGTGAGCTCTTCAGGTGCATTTAGTGTGATGCTCTTAGTCTCTGCTCACTCAGCCCCTTTGTTACTTCCTTCTGGGTGGGGGCTGCGAAGTTAGCCTGTTAGTTTATTTGACATTTCCTGGGTAATTGGGCAGGTGGTCTGGCCCCTCACTTTTGGGTTTCGCAGCTACTACGTCTGCTACCTCTGTGGAAACGTCCAATTTAGCATCTTTGGCTGCCTTGGTGGAAACAGCTTTAACATCTTTTGTGCGTGGACTGCATCCTTAGCCCTATAGCAGCCCTACGAGTGGGCAGTGATTACTGTCCCATCTCACGGCCAGGCGCTTGGGGAGGACCGTGCAGGTGAGCAGCGCGGCTCGGGCCTGAGCCTGGTCCGATCTGTCCAGCAGCAACATCAGGTCCGTGTCCACCCTGACATGAGATGGTGGCCGAGCCGCCCTCTCCAGCCTGCTGTGCCTGGGGCCCCCCCTGCCTCTGTCCTCCGAGGCCTCCTAGCAGCCCACGAGCTGTAGTGGAAGCTGCGTCAAGACAAAGCAAGGACATCGACACCTGTGTCCCGTCTCTGCCGGGGAGCAGGAGGAAGGGCCGCCCCAGCCCTCCGGACTCCAGCCTGGCCTAAGCCTGGGACTGTTCCAGATGCCGAAGGCAGCAGGGGGGGCCTCTGCCAGCGAGCCGGCTGCTGGGTTCAGGACACTCGTCCTCCTCGGGCCGAGAGCCTGTGCTCCCAGAGGGGCAGGGGAGGGCAGGTGCAGGCACAAGTCACACCACACTGCCGGCATCCTCGGGGTGGGCTCTGAGAGTCCACAGGACGGCAGTCCCCGAAGCAGGAATCGTCTGCCCAGAAGTCCGAAGGTGGCTGGGGACGAAGGCCGGAGGCTCGAGTGGACAGCCGGGCGTCTGGGACTGGCCACGGGGCCTCGTCCTCAGGAGCGGCCCTCGAGCTCCCAGCTAATTTGCTTTCTTGCTTTCTTTTCACAGGGAACCCAAAAGGTGCGATGCTCACCCATGGGAACGTGGTGGCTGATTTCTCAGGCTTTCTGAAAGTGACAGAGGTGAATAACGTAGAATTACTAATGCAGGTGTCTCCCGAGGACAGCCTCAAGCCTCGGAGGATTTATCCCTGATACGATCTGGGCTGTCGTTCCCAGACGGGGGTCGCCGTTCCCATCAGAGCGACCCCGACCTTTACAGCCACTTTACCCCCAACGCTGAAATGATCCCTGCGTGATAAATATTCAGTTGATTTCTAAGATCCCAAAAAGAAAAGCATGCAAACCTATTTCTCATATTTTTAACTTCAAAAATGGATATGCCTATGGTTTTGTGCGTGTCCTGATTGGAAAGTGAGTTTCAGTAGCTGTTTTTCAAGTAGATCAGGGTTTAATTCAGTCATTTTGTGTTTAAGGACTACTAGAGTCTGAGAAACAACCGCAGCTGCTAATTTATAAGGCTGTACTGAAAGGTAAATTTAAAATCAAAAAAAGCTTTGACTTCCTGGCCTCACAAAAGCATGTTAGCGTTTTATAACCAGCTAAGAAAGGAGGACTCTGCCCAGAGTGGTGAGTATGAGCTGCAGTCTCCTTCCGGACACAGGAATGCGCGTTCTCATGGAAGTCAGGCTTTTCCCCACCGTGGAGGAGATCGCCCTCCGTGCTCGCCTAGACGCGTGTGGAGCACGTACCCCAGACGGTTGTGTATTTAGGCAGAAAACTGAGAGGTGCTGGGTGGCTGAGCCCAGGTTAGGAGCCCGGATCCCGGGGTTCGTCCAAAATGGGCCGAAAGCCAGCCCAGGAGAGGGATGGCCGAAGTCCAGCCCTGCCCAGTGTGGTCGGTGCGGAGGGGCTCCCCGTGTCAGCTCCCCCTCCAAGGCCCTGGCCCCAGGCGTGGCTTGGGAGGCCAAGTTCAACTGCATATTTGGGGCTCGGCTTGTCTCCTCCTCTTTTCGGGCTGGGTCCCCGGCCGCAGTTGGCAGAGACTTAGGGCTGTCTGGGCCCCTTTCTCTGGAAGAAGGACTAGGAAATGCTGGTTAGCTAAGACCTTCCGAATACCTGCCCAGGTGGCCCAGGGACCTGGCGCAGATCCTGCAGGTGTGGGAGGGAAGGGAGAGGGGAAGGAAGGGGAGAGAGCCCGCTGGTGCTGACTGACTGCAAGTGAGGTGCAGGCCCTCCGAGAGGAGACTTCCCGCGGAGCCCGGCTCTGCTGGTTTATGTGTGCTGTTTGGCTCTTGCTTCTGCAGATAACCTAGACCCACTGGCGCTGCGACCTAACACTCCGCTTCCTATGCTGCCTGTCTCTGTCTCTCTCTTCTTTCTGCGCCTTCCCCTCTCTCCCCCTCCCTCCCCCTCTC